TGATAACGCGCAACGAACACCACAGCCCCGTTCACATACCACCATTGGCACAATTGTGCTTCGATGAACCATTAAAAAAAGAGGAAACAGTGGAAACAAGAGGGATATGATGACTCTGAATTGTTCATCAATGGAGACTACATTGACAAGGTTTAATTACCTTGACATTACTATATGTCGTGCCAAATATCTTAGCTGTAGCCTTTATATTTTCAGAGATGAATTTTAAAGATTCTTTTCTTTATACATAGCCTTAGAACGACTGACATGTGCAAGCATTCTTTTAAAGAGACTCGATACAACTGAAAGTGAAGCATATCATTCACGAAATGGCACTTGACAAAGGTCGTTCAGCTTCATTTACAATTACGCGCTGTGTGACGCATACACGTGCGCTAGAGCACTTTATTACAGACTAGAAAGAAACACCATACACAGGAAGCCATTGTAAAATAAGCGCCACCTAGAAAAGATAGAAATTAGTGCATGACAATTTTGTTTCTGTTCAGTACCTTTATAATCTGACTTTTCGGCAAGATTGATCACCTGACTCGCACCTCCACAGAAATTTTTCACCCGTAGCACTAAAATTTTGATTTTGTCAAATTCGCACGGACACCCGTTTTGTTAAATGGACATAGCTGTCAAACATCATCATATTTCTGTTCAAAGTTGAAAACCTTATGAATTTTCACTTTCTCCTTTTTATTGTTATGAAATATCAATGTTATACGGTCTCTAAAATTCCACAATTGCTTGTAAACTTATAAAATGTTGTTCCAACATGACAGGTAATAAAAGAAAACAAATAAACAAAAAAGCACTAGTCCATTTAGTCTGAACAGTGTAAATTTGTTCATGAGCTGAAAGTCGTTGTGGTGAGATGTGGGTATGTTTAATGAGGGTCGTCTGCCCGTTAAGGCACATAAAGCCATGCCCTTATAGAGTTAATTTTGAAGCACAAAGTTGTGATAATATACCTCCATGCAATTTTCATGTAGTATTAGCAAACCATATGAATTTTGAATGAAGAGTAGGTCACTGTTCGGCTGTCAATGAGAACCTAAATGTACAGTAACCTGAGAAAATAATGAAAGGAGATAGCCCGTATAAGGTCTGTTGGTGCAAAGCAAAGGGCCTGTATTACAAGCCGTCGGTCTGTGCTAGGGGCTCACGTACCCTAGCACACAATCCTTGCCGTTTCTGCCTACATGGTAGGACCTCACCTCCGATTTAGTCAGAACATCGCCAGCTGAAGAGCAGGTATTGACAATTGAAAGGAAAATGTAAGATTAATGTCATTCATAATAAAAATATGAACATATTTAGGTAGAGTTTTGCCTTCCGTACTCCCGGTTGATGTTAACCTGATGCTAATCATGGCGTAGACCAGAAACGCCAAAAAAACGAAATAGCTTGCAACTGAAGCCCGCTCTAATACAAGCAACTTCCAAGGTTATGCAAAGTGTTTGATAAAACGGCTTATAAACTGACGAAGATCCAATATTCTGTGGAAAGCTTATTTTTTCCCCGTAGACTGGTGCATATCCCAAAGAAATTGGTACAGAAATAAAATATTTACGGCTATTTTCTTTTCCGAATCGAGCAATATTTGTCTTGGAAATGATGCCGAAAATGAGGTCATAGTCACGTGGTATTGCTACACTGTTTATTACGGAATGTCATCTAAAACTGATTACATGAACAATTTATTAAAAGTATAAAAGTGGAAATTTACACTATGATATCTAACACTATCATACAATGTATATACTGTTTTATTCAACATTTTCAATAAATTTAGTATTGAATCTACACGAATAAATTATTTTATTAATCGCAAAATATTAATCAAATTAAGAATGGTTTACAGTTGATTTTTTCATAGACACGCCTACAAGTGTTGTTTAAAAAGTAATAGGACTACGGGAATAAGTCAGGACATCGGCAGATGGTCCCCAGTCGTAGACGAAGTAGAAGTCCCGAGAACGGGCAGAGTAATTTAAAGTTTTCTATCCGCCATGTCGCTAATCTTCCTATGCCCTGTGCATTCCCTGCAACGTGCACGCAGCAAAGGGGAAGAGCGAAGGACTGTCATGAAATCACACGTTTTGCACATTTATTTTGATTGGGCAATAAAACACAATACTGTCCTAGGATGATAACTTGAGCCTTTGTTTACATAACAAAGACCAATAACAATGCGAAAAATAGGTTAGGCAGATCAATGCCACAAGCTATAAAAATAAAAATAAAACTACATGTAATCATATGTCTTGTTAGCGCAGTAGGTAGAGCAACCGGGTCAGTAATGTGTTTTACCCGTACAGGCAGAAGTTCGACTACTGGTACGACACATTTGTTTTTACCTCAGAAAGTCCATTTTTCAGAAAACAAGTTTAACCGTTTTTTTTCCATATACATACATGAATATGAGATCGAATATTTTATTACACTGCGATCAAAAAATACAAAAAGAAAATAGAATAGAAATATAAAAACTAAATATATACTATAAAATATATATTATAAGAAGAAAACAAAAAGGAAAACGAAAAATAAATAAATAGTAATGATAAAAAAACAGAGCAAGAAGAAAAAACTGTGGTTATATAATGGCAATACGTAGGGTTCGAACTTATGAGTAGAAAACACTAAAAGTTACAATAATTCCGATCTACCGGCAGAGCCATAACGGTAATACACCAACGAGTCTGTAAGAATTGTGCTATATAGTATATGTAAGTGTTTACTTTTACGATATCGGATTATAATCCAGATAACCCCGTTTTTGGACTTTTCCATGTACCGTTAAGACCAAATTATCATCCTAGGACAATACGTATTAAATATAATGGTACCATAAGGCGCCTCCAATTCGAATTATACGTTTTATGTAATACAAATTTACTTGGACATTTAGGCCCCAAATAAGGGACATTTTTTTTGGGTGGCAACACTTTTTTAAGTACATGAAAGGGCAGCTGCCCTAATATATACATACAGATATTGAGCTTTTCTTATATACTCAAAAATAAAGATGTATTTCTTTCTTTGTGTTTGTGTAGAGTACGGTGGCCGAGTGGTTAAGGCGTTGGACTTAAGTTCCAATGGACGAATGTCCGCGTGGGTTCGAACCCCACCCGTACTATACATTTTTTCATTATTATTATTATTCAATCATGAATTGTCATTTTAAACTGATTACATGAACAATTTATTTTAACTGTAAAATTGGAACTCTACACTTTGATATTTAACACTTTCAACTGTGACAAATAAAGTTTGGTTTATGTTGTTAATACTGAATAAGTGTAGGTTTAATACTTTTAACAAGTTGAATAAAATAAAATTAAATGCTAGTCTCTAGCGAGCATAATATTGTTTTATTCAACATTTTCAATTTAATGTTATTCAATTTAAGTACAGTTTACAGTTATGTCATATATATTTAGTGAAAAAATCCATACAATATGGTAACAAATATCAATTCTGTGAAATTTTAAATAACAAGGTGCGCATCTTAACAAAAATAATAAATGACGTTCATCATTATGAAAAATAAATACAAAATATAAAAAGTGACATTCTTTCAGAAAGTACTCACCCCTGTGTTTTGGGTGAAATTATAACAGTAACGGATAACGTGAGCGCTGTTGGCTACCGTTACATACCGGTCGCTTACTGAACGGTGTGTTGGCGGAAAACGTGAGCAACCAATCGCAAACGCCTTTCACACATAGTGCGCGAGACAAACCAAAATGGCGGACAGGTAAAACTTTGCAAAAAATAAATAGGAATTTCTTTCAATATTTGCCTGTGTAGCTTTTAATTGATTATTTACATGAAATCATATGATTGAAAAACTAACTGTCGATGATTTTCATCGTGTTTGAATCAGAAATATTTGTAAATTTGTTGAATATCGGTAGATTTTGTTCAAATTATTTTCATCCAAAATGGCCGTCAATTTTTTGTTCGCAATCATCATAATAAATCTTGATATTTTTTTCTATTTCTGAAGATATAATTGTTGAAATTGATTGTAGTAAACAATTTTTCTCGTAATTTATTATCCTAGAATGATATAACCTTTTCACATAAAACTTGGAAACAGATCGTTTTGACGTTTGAAGATGGTTGTACTGAAACCGCATCTATTGAAGGAGATGCTTATATCTCGATCATGGAAAAGAATGGTATGTTGTTTTTCATAGATTTCTAAATTTTTGTTATAGAAACATAGCTAGCTCCAAACCAAATAGTGGTTAAAGCAAGTTTTCAAAACTTCCGAAAAAATCACGCCTAAAAGCAAGTCTTTAAGTATCAATATTCTTTTTAAGACTAAGATTGTAGTGAAGGCTTGATAACAATTTAGTTTAATGCTTAATTTAACATTTCAATCAATTTTTTATCTTTAAAAACATATTTTCGTACTTTTTTTGTCCATTTAACATGGCTTGTGTGGTGATACAAGCTATATATTTCTTTGGTATAGCACTCGATTAATTTTACCTGAAAATAGATGGCACTTGATGTGGCTAAAAATAAAACAGCAGGCACTGTAAATTAGTAAATTATCCATGGAAATTAATCAAAAATTTCTGTCCTATTTTTAATATATACTTTTACTTCTTAACACGAAATGTTTTTGCATTTTCCTCTACACTTACTTCATTTGATTTTTGTCATTTTTGGCATTTTCTTATTGTTATAAAACAAGTTAATGAAGTCTCGTATAAAATATACACTTTTATTTGTGAACATATATTATTACAAAAATTCCTATGATCTGTTTACTGGAAATAAGCGAAAATGTGATAGAAATGAAGACAAAACTCACCAGTGTTTGCAACACATGCATGAACATGTGACAGCATATTTTAATAGTTCTCTTTGTTTCCATTTGATGCCTTGTCTATACTTGAAAGCATAAAACAAATTCCTGCTGTTCTGGCCAAAACTATGAAATATATTTTTCTTCTAGAGTATGAATTGTTGTTTTAATTAATTTAGAAATGACAAACAGGCTTGGTTTTTTTTTACAATTATTAAAATTCAGTTGAAATCTCCATTTTTCAGATCAGTCTGACAGTTCTGCAGAATTTACAGCAAAGTTACAAAGAGCTTTCAGGTAGGTTTTTCAGAATTATTCTAGATATGTCAGGATTATGATTATTGTAATGTGCTATTATTATGGACATCTTTACATGATTAGAAGGTTGGAGGTTCTACCAAGATGCCCGCCCGTGCCTGTCTTCATCCACCAATCTAAGCTGAATTGTCGCCAGATAACTAAAATGCTGTCAGTGTGACTTAAAACCCAGGAAAAAAAAGTATCAGAAGTTTTGAATGCCTATGATTAAAGTATTTGAGACCTATGAATGCCACTTCAAACAATCCTGTCAAAGACATTAACATAGCTACAGAATTTTTCTAATTTCATGACAGAAATTGTGTCATGTTCCAAATTGAAATTCCCATACTTGAAAATTCCCAATGGAAAAATAAACAAAAATATTGAAAATAATGATTTCCATCATTGTGAACAAGAGATGCTTAAGTGTGATTTACCTGCAGTTATTTAAATGCTATTGTCATGGCCAGATTGAGTGTTTTTATTAGATTTTTGCAACTTGTCATTCATGAATTTATTTCCAATTTTCATCAAAATACCTCTATAATCCCAGTTCCATGGGCATTAATCATGTTCCTAAAATGGAAAGAAAAACCCAGACCTATACAAATATCTATATAATTTTCAGGACAGGTAATTGTTTCTGTGGCTGCAGCACCTGATACTGACACTTTGCAAGAGGGTAAGTTACATTATTCTTGTAGGCAAGTCTTGGGAAATAAATTATGAAAGATACAGTTTCACCAGTCAAGAGTGGCACTTTAACACAATAATATGCCCTGATTTGAATTTTTTTTTGGATAGATTTTAACTATATAACCATAAAGGAACACTTTCGATTGTAAATTAAATATAAATATATAAATATATTAAATATGTTGAAAGTGAAGAAGAAAATGCATTGAAAAATGAATAGTTTTGTCAACGTAGAACAATTGTTAGACCTTCTCTAAGCAGTCTTCACTTACGTGCCAGTCATGCCAATTATGCCTGGCATAATTCCTTCCGGTTTGGCACTTTTATCAAGCCTATTTTCCAGAGACAATTGTTTCTTTTTCGGTCTTGCAGTTTTTGTTGGGTTTTTTTCGGTCTGGCAAAAAAATATTACCAGTTCGGAAGACTGGCAATTGTTAATCTTTTCGCAAAAACTGTCTATTATAAATCGCTTACACAAAAGAAAAACATTAAACAAATACTAAAACAACTTGTACTTTATTTACATTGTAAAGTATAAAATCCTGATGAATGCTTATGTTAAAATAGAAGTATTATGTCATTATAAATTTCTTTAATTTTTGGGTTATCACTGTTGAATTCTTCAGTGTATATGAACTTTTTTATGAAGATATTTCATGGTCATTCAGTTCATTAAATTTTGTTTAGAATGAAACAAAAGAAAAGTTAGATACCGTATTAAGATATTTTTACTCAATGTATTTTTTTACCATTACAGACTCACAAAGTCTTGATGAGGATGCAGGAGGTGCTGAAATTTTGAACAGTGAGGAAAACCAGAATAAAGGTATTTTAGCTTGTCACTATATATACAAAAATTTTGGCAGTAAGTTACAGAAGAAAGACATAGACATAATAATTGTACATGTATATAAATCATCCATTAAGAGACCCTGGCCAATATTGATTTTCAATCAAGTTGCTTTCCAAACAAACTATTCAATCTACAAGAATACAGTTGTGTAATTAAGGCTTTCATCAGGCAACACATGATCACTGATTGCTCTTCTTAATTCAATAATCACTGCATCACCAGAAGCTGGTGCCTCTAATTGCTCTAATGTTGTTTATATTATGATACTACATATATATGGATACTTTTTACTGTCAAATATTTTCATAAATTGTATTTATGGATATAAAATTTTGATAATCTAGATCTGATTGAAATCAAATGTTAATTAATTAATAAATTCCAGATGTATCGGCTCCTTCAGAGAATCTGCCAAATGAACAAGGGAATATAACAGTTGTGAAGAAGAATGAAAGTAAGTAAATTTAGAAATACATATGATTTCAATATTTAGACATACTTGTAGAATACATGATTTGATCTGAAACAAATGCATCAAGATTGAAAACAAAGTGTAGAAAAACTGAGTCTGTAATGCTTTCATAAGATTGAATCTGAACAATTCATGCTGTATTAATATTTTCCAAAAGAAAATAATGGTAGTCCAATAGAATTATATTTTGGGATTGCTATTTAGTACCGACATGATTATGTATATCATTGTATTTAAAGTAATATCAAAGAGCAAATGATTTATAAGTTAACTGAGTGAATGACCTGTAATGCTAATGATTTTTTTATTTGCAGCTATCACCTGGAAACATGAGGCTGTTTTACTCCTCATTTCTTTGTATGGGGAAAACAAAGATAAGTTTACTTGTTCTAGTTACAAGCAGAAGGATGTCTGGAAAATTATTTCTACAAAAATGTTCGAGAAAGGCCTGAACTATGATGCCAACCAGTGCAACGAAAAGTTCCGATCATTGAAACATAGGTATAAATTTCTTATACACTCTTGTTATCCAACATCATCTATGGCCATATATTAAAGTATCATTTCAATTATAAATTTTCATTTAATTCAATTGTATGCTTAAGACATAGGGGAGTTAATCATGGCAAAAATCAACAGTTTTAAGCTCAACCAGCCACCACCACACATTGACCACCCACCACCACCACCACCCATCCACCACCAACACTAACCAAGCACCAACCAGCCACCACCACACATTGACCACCCATACAATTTTGTAACAATTTCAGACACAAGAAGATCACCGACAACAATGAGAAGAGTGGTAGAGGAAGAAGTACATGGCAGTACTATGATGCAATGGAAGAACTTCTGGCTGGGGATCCAGCAGTGAGACCAATTAAAGTTGTTGCATCTAGTACTGCCACACCTGCTGCAGAGTCCACATCAACAGGTTTGTTTTATTATAACTTTATTTGCCCAATAATTATGAGTCCAAGAAATCTTCATGCATTATTCTAACACCACTGTGGTACATACTTTTAATAGTCATCACTGATTGAATACATAATATATCAAAGTTGGTGCTTATAGTGCTACATATGGCCGCTACCATGTAACTGTGTGTAAATTAATGAATTAAAGTGCTATACATAAGTGTAGTACATAAATGATGTCAATCTGAGTGAAATATCTGTTGCACATAAGAATTGACACATATTCCTGTTGACGCTTTCTTTAATGTCAGGGGCAGTAATCTTCACTGGATGGTTGTTCAAGAAATAAATTCAATGTAGGCTAGATATAGATTTATTGCAATGAAACATTTAAAAAAGTTCTATATGAAGGAATACTTTGGGTATCATTCAAGTGAATACTTTAAATCGATCATTCTTATGCCTAGTGAGAAAATTCCTACAGAATGATAAATTTGTTCATATAGTCACTGGTAGAAAACAATTGGTGAGCTGTGTATCTTTCACATGAAAAGTTTAAACATTGTTGTTGAACTTGGTTTCAGCATATAATAATGTCTGTCAATGTAAAAAACATATGTATTAGGATTATGATTGGCTTTCATTTTTCATGTGTAATTAATGTCCTTTTTCTGTATTTAAGGTTCTTCCGCTACATTGACACAGAAGCCTCCACTGCCGCCAAACATACTTCGAACAAAAACGCAATCACCAGTTAGAAGCCTATCACCTGTAGAATCTGTAGCCTCTGATGAGCAAGTGACACCAGTCATTAAGAGAAGACGTAAAATGCAGAAGGTCCTGAGTGGTTTCAAGACTTTGTGTTGCAAAACGAAAGAAGACTGGATGCGTTAGAGGCTGCAAACTCTGCCCTTATTGAGATATCGAGGGAAAGAAATGCTATTTTGAAACAGCTGGCCGAGGCGCTGACGAAGAAATAGTGACATTGTTCATATTGTTTGGTTAAGAGCGATTTGTATGGTTTATATCTGTAAGAATGTTCATGTAATTTCAAAGCTTTGCAACATGTTTTCTTTTGTTAACTTCAATGATACAAGTCACTTTAAATCAACAGCAGGTCTTGTAAACCATTTATTTATATGCAGTGTTACATGTATCATGTTGTTGTTTTTTTCAATGGAGTTACTTATTATTAAATTACTAAAATACAGCTTTGTTATATATATGTATATCAAAGTTAGCAGGGCTTGCAAACCGCCTCTGTGGTTGAGGTGTAAGAGTCGATGACTTCTAATCTAGTTACCTCTCTGGGTTCGATCCCTGGGAGATGCCTTGGTAGTTTAGCACGGAGGAAGGTGGTCTAGTACTGGTGTAACTCTCCAGGAATGATGGTTAGGAAACTAACTGCCTATATGACTGAAATACTGTTGGGAAAAGACGTAAAATGAAACAAACAAACAACATCTTATTCTTTCTCTACCTCGACTGGTTTTAAAAGTTAGATTTATATAGGGCATATCTTGGGTGAAGCATAACTTTTTCATCTTGTCAAAATTACTTGAAACTTGGTATGTATGCTTGATCGTTTCTCAGTATGAAAGTTTGTTTAATACAGGAGAGAAAATACAAGGCAACACATTCATCATTTGTCCATGTTCTAAAAAATAATATTGTCTGTACAAAGTATTAAGATACTACTAATAAAGAACCGGCAAGTGTGGTACTGCACATGCTTTTATTTTAACTGCTGCATAAAGAATTCAATGTATGTGATGGACAAAAGACTATTTTAGTAAACATTTTTACGGATGGAAAGTGAGGAACTAGTCTTTACTGTGGATATTTTGCTTTAAATATTGGTTGATGGACATAATCGTAATTTGTGATTACTGAACATTTTGAAAGTTATCATGTGAACATTGTTAACACTTGAACACACACACGTTGACATTTGTCCACTACAGTATACATAGTTCATATGTCGAATAGTGGTCAATATATATATATATAATATATTAAACCTTGCAACTTTAAAGAACTAAAGCGAGTATAGAACCTCTAAATGAATACTAATGTTTAAAGAAGCATGTGTCAGTCATCTTTATATTTTCACATTACTACAGAGTGCAGTGCATAAGAACCATAAGTCAAGCTTGTCGGGTTTTCAAATTATTCCTCTTTAATTTTATAGTGCATTTCTTATCCAGGGCATAAGTTAGCCGCCATCAAGTTGAGTCAGAGTAACTTGAAACTCGGTATGCATGCTTATCCTGTTAATACATAATGCAGTGAACAAGAACTATAACTCCAGCATGTAAGTTTTTTTCAGTCCCCTCAGATTTTACAGTGTATTTCTTGTCTGAGGCTTTGTTTCCACTGTTTTTATGTGTTGTCATGAAGGCAAGGGGGTAATGTGCATTATATTACTGGGTAATGAGAATCGTACCCACATATGAGGTGATCTGAAAACACTATAATAAGATTATAGTTTTAAAGGGTTGAAGGAAAATCATCTTGAAAAATTTAAAATCCAAATTTTAATGTCATTAAAGATTGTATATAACAATTGAGCAGTTTAAGAATGATAATCAATTTCATAATTTGTTTTGTCAATTCTGGAGGTATTACATAGTAATGAAGCACTGTAAATATAACATATATTTCATTAAACTTCTACCCAAGCTTCTTAAAAATATGCATGCGATAACTTAACTGTTTTTATAAATATATATATATATATATAACATGTTATAAATAACTACAATTAACTCTTAAACATAAACTGCTTTAATTAAATATTTGAATATTCAGTTGCCTTTATCTGTCAAGTTTGTATGTAACACTTATTATCTTTGAAATGATCCTTGAAGTACTTGAAGTACTTCTACAAATGTCTACAACATGTTGGCAATCCTTCTCCGTTTTGTTTCCCCATGGCTACTTGCTTGTCTTGTTTGACTGTCTTGATCTGATGCACTATTATCTACTGCATCATCTAATGTAATCTCCTCCTCTACCATTTCACAATCTAAAATCACGTTATGTACTACACAACAAGCTGTGATAACTTCAGGAATTTCTTCCTGCAGATGCATGTCTAAAGACTTTAACCTCCTGAACTTGCATTTTAATAACCCAATTGCTCTTTCCACATCTACTCTTGTAGAGGAATGCACTTTATTAAATTTCTTTTGAACTGGGTCCAAATGTCCATTATCTCGATAAGGCACCAGCATACTGGCTGTAAGGGGATATGCAGAATCAACAAGAACATGATAATTTTCTCCAAGCCTTTCTATTACCTCAGAAATTGGGCTATTCCTATATACTCTGGCATCATGTACTGAACCAGGCCATCCTGTGTAAGTGTCTAATAGCTATAAATTACTGTCACACACAACCTGGAGTTGAATACTGGAGAACCCTTTACCGTTAATGAATGATGCTCTATGCTCAGAAGTAGGAGCTGGGACTGCAATGTGGTTTCCATCAATTGCACCGACTACTCCCGGCATTCCACATCTCTTGTGGAATTCCTCAGCTATTGCGTCCATTTCTGTGCGATTCTCTGGGAATTTGATGTAATCAGTCTTTAATGATGAGATAGCTTTGCATGTTGATATTACAGTCAGATGAAGTGTTCCTGGAAGAAAGAAAAAAATATAAACCTCACTAGATATACTGTAGGTTTGATATACCTTGTTTGGTATAACACATTTATTAGATTCTGATTATATAATATATTAGATTACATACATGAATGTACATAATCTTAAAACAATGAAATAAAAGAAGTTCCTTGCAAGTCAAGTACATTTATCTCTTAGAAAAAAATCAACATTTTATTTATTCCTTTTCTACTGAGTATTTAATACTATATTATCTAACTAGTAATACTCTAAAATAAATGCTAAAATTTGTATTTTTTTTAACAAATCCCTTAATGTTTGAATTTGAAATCCCTCATATATTCATTGTGCATGGGATGATAAAATTGTTTAGTATCCAACGTTATTTGTCATCTAATGGAAACCCTGTATTTCTTCAAAATAATGAGTGATAATTTTCATAGAACAAAAGTCGATACTATCTCAAATTCTATTCATAGTCGACTTCTGTTTTTCATAGTGCTTCATAGAACTGTGTTTGTAAAAATAGTCATTTGCACAAAGTTGCACATGCGCTTTCATGTGCCGCTTTTGAATATTAATTAAGTAAAAATGACGTCAAAAGGTTACTCTGCATGAATTTTGTATTTCAGTATTCATCCATAGCCATTCTACAGAAATAAGAATATACTGCTCCTGTCAAAGTTTCTAATTTCTGTAGAACAGCGCGGATGGACACTAGCAATAACATATACGTAGCAAATAAATATGGACATAAATTTGAGAGATAAGGCAACCCATCATACTATACTGTTATTCATACTTCACTTATTGACAAGCCATTGAAGTAATTTGAAGAAAAGAATGTGTTTTAACTTGTAGAAGTCCTTGTTGGTATTGCATCAAATGTTCCATATAAAATAAATGA